ATCACAGGCAAAGGGGATATCCAGAACTGGACCAGTTGAGGACAAAGGGCTAGCAGGTACTTGGCACTCAAGGGAGCGTACTGGTAGCAAGTGATATAACAGCTCCTTGAGGGAGCTTCCTGAGATTTGGTCGACAGGTACTTGGCACCCAGAAGGGCGTACCAGCAACGAGTGAGATTCCAGCTCCTTGAGGGAGCTACTTGAGGCTGGGTTGACGGATACTTGGCACCCAGATGGGCGTGCCAGCAACAGGGTATGAGACCGTTCGTTTGGCAAACGGTCTATATTCGTGTCAACGGGTACTTGGTGCTCATATGAGCATACCGGTGATGGAGGGGTTAGTCAATGGTAGGTCGAACGACATGTGGTGGGGTCGATGGCTACTTGGCACTTGCGAGAGCATACTGACGACAAGGGGAACGGGCTTGTATCGAATACCAATCCATCCATAGAGTTAACCAGATGCTCACCGTAAGGTGAGACAGACGTGAGCCCAGTACCTGGGCGAGTGACGTGAGTCATAACAGAAGGTGTTCATGCATACCTGAGTTGAGTCGCACGCGAACTCAACGATCCGTGGCTAGAGTCGTCAACCTCGGTAGGGATGACCCATATAGATGGTGACCGAGACATATACAATCTTACACAGACGTTACAGTGTTGGCACAAGGAGGTTTACAGTTGTTGCACAGAAGGTGAGGGTGTTATTCGTTAAGTTCCGTCTTTCTCAGCTGTTGCTGTACATGAACGTGATGCTAACTATTGAATAAGAAATGATCGTGAGAAATCTCGCGAAATAGAATAAATAATCCGGCCAGCACCAAAACCCAATAAGGGAAAGCTTAGCGCGGAGTGAGTGTGTAAGAAGGGGGGAAGCGGGGAGAATGTAAGAAAGAGATGGGAGGATGTGGAGGAGGACCCGCTGTGGTTGACGTTCAGTCAACATGGTCACGAGAGACTCCATTCCTATAACATCCACATAGGAATGGAAAAGCGACCTCCCTTTTTGACTACAAGAGACTGTAGCACTGAGAGATCCAAGAAATTCTAAGCTTGACTCTTTGAGTATTATAAGGAAGTCCCTGATGATTGTCCAAGATGGACCAGGGGTACGTAATTCTTAGCGAGTTTTGTGATTGTTTTTGTTTTGTTAGCACCCAGACCAAACCTAGCACAAGCTCAGGATATCCCAGACTCCCTCCCCACGAATTTGCTCGCATTTAGGGGGTTAGATCTCTAGCCCACTTGCAGTGTCACAAATGCAATGCAAGGGGGGAGAATGTCAGGGCAATAGCCCCGAACCCCAAGCCATATGTAATTAAGTCACGTGGGTAAGCGGGAACCTCTGGGTAACTGCTTACACACTACCGTAATATACACACCATTGTATCACTTACGGCTCTGTGTGCTGAGCTACCCTGAGACCTCACAATGAGGCAAACCGCAAAGTGGCCCAAATGGAGAAAAAAGCTCAAAAACAAGCATGCTGGCTAGAAACAATTCACAGGGAAGTGGAAGAGAGGGCCTGGCAACAGGCCAAGGATGTGCATCAGGAGGAAGTAAAGGCATGGGAGGCCGAGATAGCAAAACTAAAGGAGGCAAAGGTCCCTAAGAAGGATTGGCCAAAAAAGCCTAAGCATGCTCAAAAAACAGTGATAATCTCAGCGATCAGATTATCGGATCTGGTGGAGGACTGTCAGGGTTCAGCACCCTGCCCTAGGGTGCCCCAGACTCCCCAACCAATCCCTTCCTTCCATTCCTTCATTGTTGCCTTGTTGTTGCCTTTCTGTGCTGTGTATCCGCGTGCACAGGATAGTGTGGGAACTTTCTGAGCGAGCAGCTTGCCCAGAATGTTCCCACAGGTCACAGCCACAGTTCTGGGCAAGCAACTCGCCCAGAACGTTCCCACGCTTACTGAGCACTGCTACCTGGATGTTCCCTGAAAGGGATCTTACTATTTTGGGGATGGTAACATTCTGTTCCTGTCAGGGACTCGTCCGGGGTCGAGGGGGTCCGGGTATAACGTCCGGGACCGAGAGCCTGGCGGGGGGCAGATCGGGCGTGCATACTGACAGGCCCGATGTGGGACAGTGGTCCCTGGCCACTTAGACTGAAGTGGAAAGTTGTTATTATCATTAAAGGAGAGATATTGTACTGCTTACCTGAAGTGGAAAGTTGAGAAGAAGGCTACTTCTTCGGTTCCCACTTCAGGTTCGTTTATATACATGCGGCTTGGATCACATGACGGGTGCCACGTCACCCTCGCACACAGCTGTAACCACCCGGGTGTCTCCGTGGGAGATCCCAAGGGTATCCGGTGCAGGCGCGCGTGCTGGGCACAGCGGGAGGTCGCCCGAGGTGCCCGGGCCGGGTACATGGTGGGCGCGCTGCAGATGGGTCAATTGTACATTGATACAGAGAAAGTCGTCCATGTAGAATAAAGGGAGAATAAAGAAGAAGTAAGATAAGGAGAAACTGAGGAGGGGAGGATGAGGGGGAAGAAGGGAAAGGGGGAGGAGGTAAGGGAGGGTGGACCGGCGGGGTACCGGGTCAGGTTGGGCTGGGTGGAGCCAGGTCAGGCGGGTGTGCCCTGACAGTTCCCCCATCCGCCTCAGGCCTCAGTAGGTCTGTCTAAACATAAGCTTTAATGTGCTGTATATTCAATGGAGTAGAGGTAAAGGCTACCAGGCCTTTACAACTACTCCGAGGTATATATATGTAATTTACATATCTCGGCACAAATAAATAAAGAAAGAACAGCATCACTATAATGGGAATTATAGCGATGCAACATAATATAAATATCACTATAATCAGAATTATAGTGAAGTAAGGTTAATCCCTTACATTCCCTCCAGGTCACACTACACAACTCTAGGAGCTGTATAGTTGTGGGCATGTGACCCATTCCTTTATATAGCAACCATGCAGGGAGATGAGACCTTTACCCTTCTTCTCATCTCATGCCCGCATAGCCAAGTGTATATATTTCACTCTCTTTTACTATACATCTCATGCCCTGCATAGTGTGAGGACAGGTTAGATGGGGGTTGAGGTCAGGGAGCCTCCAAGTCCGAGGCCGGGCCCTGACAAGGACATGGACAATGAGGAGGGTGAATGCTTTGACCTAGGTTTGGATGATAGGGTGAATATAATAGACTTTTAATTCAGCTGCCGAAGCTGAGTTCACACATCAAGGTAGGCCCGAACTGAGGAAAAGAAATATAATTAAAATTCCCACTGCTCCATAGCAGGTCCTACGTTTTTTTCTCCTGTCCTATGCACAGGGTCCTAACGCGGACTAGAATAGAATAATACTCAGTCTCGCGGATGTGAACGCAATGAGAACTATAATTGGATATCTACCTAGAATAGAATAATACTAGGTGAAGATTTAGAACAAGTAAATGAGTGAACATGATAAAAGGTATACCGACCTCAGTCTCGCGGATGTGAACGCAATGAGAACTGAGGGCATTGCAAGAGGGCTCGTGGCTCTCTATGCCAACTAAGCTCGTGGGGCCAAACTCTCCTAAAACTTCACTTTCTCTCTAGACTTTGCTCAACTCTCAATCCTTAACTCCGCATGGTGAGTTCTCCGGGATTTCCGCAAGGTCCGGGCTCAGTGTCCACTACTCACTCGTTGTGAGCTAGATCACTGCCCTTATTCCTACTGTTGGAATTCCACTCACTCACACCCTCTCTAGCGCGTCCTAGCACCTTAGAGAAAATTGGGGGAGGGGAGAACTTCTTTTCAAAAATCCGGTATGTACAGGATTATAAGAAATAATTATTTTTAGAAAGAATAGATTGGTACCATATGGCACCTGGGTACCTTATTAGGCGAAATAATAAAAAGGGTAACAGCAGCAATAAAAGAATATCAATCAATAACTGAAATGATGGTGAAATATGAAAATGAAAATAAAAGAAAATAAGCGATATCTCAACGGATTTAGGGAATTATGAGCCGAAATTGGAAATGTAGCCGGAAATAACTCTCACACAGCCGATAAACATTTTTACCAATTTATTAGACGCCGTGGGAATGAGTGAGGCTGGAATTCTGGGTTGCCGCTTGAGATTCCCACGCCCGCACATGCCCGTGCCTAACTTGCCCAACATAGAACTCCGTCAAATCTCCTCCGATTAAGACGTTCTTGATATCGTCGGAATCGTACGAATTAGCACTATTTTTAGATACCAATTCCGTACCGAGTCGTCGCATGAATAAAAAGGGTTTTCTAATCATGGAAATGGGTATCCGAGCCGGTGCTGCGCGTGGGCAATTATCCCGCCTACAGCGTCAGCGAAGTAAACATCAAGCTTTTAAGCGTCGATTACTCGAATGTAACAGGAGTGAGGATTATTACAAATAAAGGAAAGTGAAGCGACCAACAGGTCAGAAAAAGGAAGATAAATGTTAAATAAACATATAGTGATAAGACAGTAGAGACCGACGAACCAACCGTTGCTGTCTTACAACAGGTCCTGTATGACCCCCAAACCCAGGGTCCATTCTCTGCCCCAAACAGTTCTATTCTGCTTGCTGCATGGCTGCAGTGTAAATTACATGGTGCTGAACTTATCAGAGTATGCAGTGGGTTTACAGCGCGAGAGTGAATCTCGGGCTTCATCTCAGCCAATAGTAACGTTGAGAGTGAACATGCATGCAAGGTAAGAGTAGCGGGATCTGCCGCTTCAGGTTGCGTTCCCCAGTTATAAATGGATATATCCGTGTGGTCTGACACGGACATGTCCGAGGTAATAGAAAGCAAATGTGACCATGTGATAAGACATGTCACATGTGGATGACAGCACGTGCCTTGCGGCACGGTTATTTGCGCTGCCCTTCCAACAAAACCCAGCTGCAGCTTGGACTGGGTAATATGTGAGGGTTCCTATTCCAGCATGAGTTCACAGCGGAATTGAGTCAAAAGGAAAGGCCGTTCTGTCAATCAGAAGACGGTATCAACAGTTAATATGATGGAACATCATAATGCAAGGAAATCAACCAAATCATATTCAAAAGCTGAATGCGAATTAAATCACACAAAAAAAAAGAGTAAAGCCCGATACACAATTATTCACCACAAATCTCAGTTGGGCTCTACTTTATAGCCACATCCTAGCCATATCATCCGCCAGCCAAGTTTCTTCGTTTTAGTACTATCCTCGGTTTACACATTTACCGTGATGGTATTAGAGAAGTAATTGGGGGTATTTGACGTGCCAAAGCGAATGCATCTACCCAAAGATCGCTGCACCAGCACGTTGAGACACCACCAGCTTGATAACGCGAGCCTTCTCAGTGCGATGGAATATGATAGGAGTCCATAAGCAAAGAGTCAGTGGCTGATGTCGCCGAGGCGTTCTTCGATAGCCTTGAAAAGCCTACGCTCGCTATAGTAAAATTGCACCCATTCTTCAGCATCGTGGGATGGATGCTAACCAAAAAAATGATGTTTTTTGATGTGAGAACTAGACGAAATGCTACGTAACACACCTGTTCGGCGAATTGTTCCCAACTGGCCAAATTCTGGTAAATGCCATTGGGACGAGAACGAGAAGCGACCCAATTCATTGCAGCGACAAAATCCGCTCTCGTAAACGACGATGAAGACATTTCCATAGTTGGGGCTACAACTGTTAATTTCTTTGTGTGGGTATCTCTGCGAGCCACGGAGATAGATGTGGGCGCATCAAGGCGCGAATGCTTTTTTTTGGGCAAATCCAGTTTCTCGTTTGAGCGAAGCCTCTTCAGCGCTCGCTCCGCCGCCGTGACATTAATGTTTGCATCCGAGGAAGAACTACTACTCTTTCGGCGATCATGCGAACTTGTCGAAGAACTCGATGTTGACGAATATTCCTCATCAACGTCATGTCGATTAGGATAAATATAATTAACGTAGCGTGTTTTCCAGCCCCATTGGCTTCTGGAAGGGTTCTACATGTGGGCTAGACGTTAGACTGACCGGGAAAACGCAGAGCAGAGGCAAACCTTTTCGCTTAGCTTTTCCCATTCCTGCATGGGGATATACAAGGGGTAACCCCGCTGTCGTGCGAATTGGATCAAAAGGTCGTCTTCAGCGGCAGTGAAACGCCTATTGGGTCGTAAGGTGGGACGAGATAGGTTTCCCGATGGTGGATCGTGCGTGGTGGCGCGGAAGGACGGCCGAGCCTCCGGGGATGCGCGATCGACGCCATGGCCTATATCTGGATGCCGTAAGAAATACGTGTGCAGGGAAAATGCAGAACGATTTTGCTGATGGATCATGTTTCAGTAGAACTAGGTGCAATATAAGAAGCGTCCCTCACTAGTTTTTCAAATGCAAGCCAGACGTGAAAATCCTTGCTATATTTATGCCTGTGTTTTGCATAGAACTCTTTCATAGCACGATGTTCCTCAGGTGTATATTTTGGTCGCCGACCATGGCGAGTAACCACAGTTTCGGGTGGATCTATGTCGGAGGCCTGGCAGCTGGAAGCTTCGGGCGGCTGAAAGGGAGGATTCTCTCCCCGCAGGAATCGTGTAACCGCTGCGTTGAAGTATTCGCGATGTCGATCATGATGTTGATTGTATGCCTGGGATGATCGCTCGCAGTGCTATTCAAAACGAACATATACGATTGGATGCAATGATAGTGGAAACAAAGAAGAAATACCTTGCCGGAGAACGCTGACCACAAAGCCTTTCCGTCTAATTGCGGATGAGAGGCAATGTGTCTGATCATCGCCTCATTCTCACTATCGGCGTATCTTCTGGTGGCTTTCGAGCTTTCATCGGCATGACCACTTTTCGGAGGGTTCGACTTTCTCTTCGCGCCCCGAGTGGTTGAACCTGGTCTTGGAGGAATAAGTGGCAGCAACGCGTTCGCTCGACGACGGACTTCGCTGCCCTTGTGGTTCAAATTCGTCCAGTAATTCTCAGACCGATGGGGAATCTGGGGAATGCAATGTTGGAATGAAACCTGAGCTCGCGAGCTAAGAGTGACGGCATGAAATTACTTACGTGTGCGCCCAACCATCGATACAAATCTATCCAAGGAGCGGCAGGCCGGGGCGCAAAAAAACGAGGAACAATCCAGAGGAAGAATTTTTCGTCAAGCGATTTAGTGGCAGGAGATGGTGGTAGGTTGCTGATCTCGGGTCGAGAGGGCAATGAGAGGAGGTCTTCGAGTGCAGGAGCTTCAACATCCACATCCTCCCAATCCCAATTCTTGGCTTCCTGGCCTCCATCGGATTGCTCATTCTGTTCTTCTTCCTCTTCAGGCTTCCACAGAACGTAATCCTCGGGATCTTGGACACACTGGGCACGCACCGAGTTTAACACCCATTCGGAGGAAATTCCGACTGTACCCTGCTCATCGTTACAGAGTTCGGGGTAGTCTCCGGGGGTCATATCGGTGTGGATGATGGCGAAGAAAGCTTCAGCTACGTGCTCCACTATTTGACCACCGTGTGCCTGTGGATCGAGCTCAAGATATCATACAGAATTGGGATACTGAAAGTCGCACCTTGATGCTTTCAACAACGAATGTGCGATTCGGCAGGTTCGGATGCACCCAAATGTCGTAGCTCGTATGATTATCCTCGTGGAAGAAAATTTTGGGGTCAGGAAGCGGCGTTTCAGCGATGCCTGACGGTTGAGAATCCATGTTAGTTACGGCGGTACGAGCATCGGACGATGTAGGCGGGGAGAGTGGATGCGGGAGGCTAACTCCCCGAGCTAGAACTGGTGATGGGAGAGCGACCAGGGATTCCTGTGCGGCATCTGTCATGAGAGTAAAGTGATAGGGGTCCCTAATAATAGAGCCGGATGCTTGAAATGTTCTTGGAGGGAACAGGGGCAACCGGAAATATCACATATACCAGACGTGAGGAAACTGTGAGTTTGGAGGCTGTTCTGTGACTTGAATGCAAACTTGCTTTTCCGCCCCTGGCAAATCCCGACGTCGGGACCGCCCTTGCTCTCACAGTCGACGAGCATCTCTCGTTGATCTGTATGGGCAACGACCTTCGTAAGCGCAGTGCTTGACCTGATGTGGCGAGTTCAGCCAGTCCTGCACGAACCGGACCCCATAGTGTGGGTGTTGTTTCCCTCACGGCTCAGTCGTTACTTGCCGCTGCCGACTTATTTCACTGCGGAACAGCAGGGGGCACTTCTGATTTGGGCCATAGTCGTTATACTTAAGTTGCTGGGGTTATTCAGCCCATCTCGTTTTTTGCTCCCAGCCCTGCTATGGACGAGCTAAGCAGGATCCCAGCCTCTATTAAAGTAGATGAACGAGCTAGCTCTGACCTGTGGGAAGTGACGAGTTGGCTGCATCGGAAAGGTCAAGTAGAAGAGCTTCACTGTCGAGATCGAATACTTCTTCCTGGTGCGTTCAGGTGAGGGGACATCTCTCAGGACGATCAGTTTCACTAGATGCGCTCTTGCAACCTTCCCACACCCTTTATTCGGTTCATCGCATGGTCGATAAAGCATGTTTTTCGAAGCTTAATTCCGTGATGCATACGGTTTTTTCCGTTGCCGGTTGGCAGAACTATAGAGCCCGTGGGCTGGTAGCGAAACGGAATGTGAGCAGTAAAACCATTAATGATATGGATTTCTCCTGGGGCCACATGCTGCGCTCGGTGGTTATGTGGGCTCGACTGGCGCACCTTGCGAGCATGAGGAAGGTAGAGGGAGCTTCCAAGGCTGGTTATAACAGGAATCTGCAACCATATGCACGGCGTCTGGTGTCCCACGCTGGATCCCTCATGCAGACTAGTATATACTTTTAGGGCCACTTCTGGCCATGACGCTTCCTCTTTGTGGCTTCGCGCTTATGATCTATCGTGTGGCCCTCCGGCGCGTGGATGAATACATGAACACGACGCCTGACGCGGCAGGTAACGTAAGCGTGGAAAATAACAGCTTACTCCGCCTTTCTTCCAGCCACATGTATATTCGATAAAGCTCCCCAACATACATCCGGCTCGCTAACGTAGGCATCACTCTAGCCCGACGACCGCCCATACTTCATTGGCTTTCAAGGCCGCCCTTAAACTAGTGGAGGATACACGTTTGCACCGAGCGTACTATTTAGTTTAGCACCCATCAGGAGGACCCTTCCCCGGCTCCATCCGGAAGCCACTGCTTGCTGACGGACCACCCGGTGACATAACTTATCGCCCTCACCGATAGCCACCTACTGCTAGCGGCAGCGGCACAACCTCAAGGAAAAGCCCATGGCGTTATTAGCAGTATGCTTACCTGCAGAAGTGGCATCACTGCCTCCGCTTTTAGCTGTGTGTGTGTTCTCCATCCTTCAAACAGTCGGCTTCGCAGTTGTTAATTCATGCCCTCGAGCAAGCCTAAATTTCCCTGCATACAGATCGACGACTTTTCTCTACTGTGGGGTCACCCAGTCGAACCTCATTGCGGGTGGCATCAACCAGCGTCCGAAGTCTCGACAATTTGAGATCCGCCCAACTATCTGTACCAAGTTACCACCTGAGTTATCACGTCCATGAAGGGACATTATGTCCCCAATACACGTTACAAGAGGCCGTGATAGGACAGATTGTGCTACGAGTCTCGCAAGTTGATATCTGACACACATGTCATTATATACGAAGGGTGTACGGCATCACCCAAGGGCCAAATAAAAACAGGTCATAAATCTCCAGCACTAAATGCCGAAGCGAAAACGAAACGGTTCTCCATAGAAGCAAGTGACAATACACTGGAAAAAATCGATCTTAAGGCTGCGGTCCCTAGATCATGCAAACTTGCTTAGCGGTACAACACGTACATAACCTCTTCTCGTGCGTGCGCAAGCTGAATCAATGGACCCAGTTGAGAGTCCCAAGAGAAATTTGACTGAGCTGGTCCCAATAAAGCACTGGGAGTGGGTGCACGCTTCAATAAAGGCCAAGGACCTATGAGAATAAAATCACCAACCAGTATCATGCGCGATGATCCTCCCGAGCAACGGAATTATTTCCGCGACCAACTCCACAAACCTTCTTGTCCTTGCACCGTCGTTGTTCACTTGCTCGTCGCGCTGAGATCTGAGCTGAGCTTCCGTGAACTCACTGACGACGTCGACGACTGTGTCAAAAGAGAAGAAAGACCCTGTGACGTTGGATGCTCTCGGGAGGGACCTCATTTGGAGTTCTGCCCCCAAGTGGGCGAAACCGAGCGGACTCGTAGGAGAAAGCACGAGGTGGGGATAGTCACCGAATTGCGGGAGTCTATCAAGGTTTGAGACGCCGACATCCAACATTCAAGACAAACAGGGACATACAATGTGGCAACTGCATCCTTGTCGTTCGTAACCCTCCAAAGAGTCTTCACATACTCGCTCTCAGCGGTTAGGGTATTGAAAGCTAAAGAGGTCGCGCGATCGCCACAAACGGGCGCAGCGAAGAGATATGCGTCACGAATCAGGACTGGCGAGCCCTCGAAATCACCCGGCGAATTGATCGCGCGTGCATATGCTAATGAGGCGAGACCACATCCAACTACCGCATATTATCAATTTGAGCTTTCTCAGGGGTATAGACAACACGTACGGGAATGGCCAGTGAACCAAACATTCACTTTCCCACCTTCCGGTTCGGTTTTTGCTAGGTCGTGCGCAAGTACCCGCAATGCAACGCGGATTGTGTCCCAAGATCTTCCACCGTCGGGAAACAATCCCGCCTCCCCTGCTGGGTCCCAGGCCCACAGCCTATCTTTGAAACCTTTATTTATACGACCATCGAGGCCCTGCAAAAATTCCCCTGTCGGGACGAGGTTGACGGTGAAATCTGTCGCCCAGTCTGCGAATTCAAAGGGAGTCGTTCCTTTGAACGTTACGACAACCCAATTGCCTCCAGGCTTCCAAAAAAACGAGCAGTATGCCTAAAGAAAGGGAGGATAGGCATCAGCATAGCGTTTGGCCCCTCTAATTCCAACTCGAGGCGAAAGAACAACTCACGCCCTCACTGTTGTTCAACTCACTAACGGGCTCGTACCTGAGCCCAATGAAGTCGCTGAGCCTCCTGATTGCATCCTCACCAGCCGTTCGACCGGCTTCAAATGCGGCCTTGATCGGCGCCGCCTGTTCAGGACCGAAAAGCGAATCGACCAAAGTCCCAGGGGGGAGGGCTCCAAGATCAGGTAATTGTTCATTCGTTGGTCTGGCTTCACTAAGCTCATTCAAGACACCGTGAATGGGTTGCGATTCATGTTCATACACGACAGAAGCAAGTTGAAGCAGCAGAGTTGCAATGTCGAGATTAAATTCACGCCTGGCGACAGGAGGGAAAGAGCTTAAGGGAGCAGAAGAAAGTGCCCGCATTGCATATTCGATTTGCTCGCCGGTGAGTGCGGTGAAGAGACCTGGATAGACTTCGAAGCCACGTTGAAACCACCATCATTGAACACTGCGTCACAAGGCAAACCTACAGGCGTTGATAAGACCTAGGCCATTGAAGCACCGATTGGAAATCCAACTGTAGATTCCCCTTACCGGAGGGATGTTCACGAGTTGGCAGAAGATAAGAGCTACGAGGAGCACAATCGAGGTGAGTAGTGAGATGACGACTGTCAAAGCCCAATCACAAATAGCTGTTAAGATAGAGAGATAAGCTCAAGTGACTATTCCATCCGGAGCTAAACATGCAACGCACGAAGCTCGCCGATTATCCAAGAACAAAACACGTAACCCCATGTCACCCGTAAGTACCAGGTGTAAACCCCTATATTGAAGAACAATAGCCTGAACCAGTTATCTTAAGAGGACATGGTGGCGTATCGTCAGGAGTTCATCCCAGTTCACAAGACAACGGGCGTACTTCCACGAGTCCGAGCATACGTGGTAGTTCCAATAATATTCATTGTCACGATCTCGTCGAGTCGTAACGCAGCGAGTTTGTCATTAATCGATGCATCAGAATTCACCAGATATTCAACGGCGGAAGTCATATCGGCGGCGGCGGAAAAAGTCGTTATGGGATAGCAGGTCGTAGCAAGGCGCACGACGCGCGAAAGAGGCTTCGAATATTCAGCTCGGCCAGCGGAAAGACAGTCCCTTGTACCGATTTCAAATACGATATATTCAGCCGGAAGTGCACCCCCATTATCACTCTCGAGCATTCCGATAAGCCAAGATGCCACGCCATATACCTTTCCATCAAGAAAGATGATTGCATATTAGACTGCTGCGAGCTGGGGACAGATATGCAATCTCGTAGGTGTCAGTATGTTGGCCTTGGAAGTTACCGAGCGATTAGGCAGGACTCCAGCCTCTACGACTGCGTAATATTTACCGAGCGGTCGCAGGTCTGTCGCTCATTGCATGGGGTGGCTTCTAATACATGGGAACTTCTTTTTCGCACCCTTCTATAATTGTTTCTACCCTTGATCACAAATGGATCCCACTGTCCAAACCACACGGAGGTTCACTGAATGACTTATGTGCATACAGAACACGCACGCGTCGCGTGCGTGTGGGATGTCTCCTTGCCTCAGCAGCCATGAATACTACAAATTTTAGGGGGACACCAAAGTGAGTGTCCAATCCATATATATATACACGCCAACGATTAAGGTGGCGGCTATTGTCTTGATGTGCATGATGTCTAGGTCATTGGAGGATACTATATAATATTACGAAGTCATAGATGGAGCAAATGGTAGGGCTGATAGCTAAGAGCAGTGTCATTGGGCCACAACAGACATGCCAGGGCCCGGCCATGCATGCCCCGGGGGTGTTGGACAGTGGGACCAGCCGAGGTTCTCTCGCGCAATTTAATATCCAACCTTGGCTGAAGCAGTTGAACACAACATGGAGTTTTCGTAAGTGATTCTGGTAATTGATCGATGATACTTGACGTACAAACATTGAGCCTTGGGCATTTGAAGGTACTGACAAGGTCAATCTGCATGCGCTTGCGCACGACCCCATGCCCTACGTAATTTATGGTGCTCATGGTGTGTCCAAGACCCCTGGATAGAAGTTCGTGGTGGAGTCCTCGGGGGCTGTCTTGAGTTGCAAAGGCACCACCAGGCAGCAGAACGGGTACTTTGACCTTCTCGGGGTGTATCTTCATATCGTCACTGCCGAACTTACCTACATTACCTACAAGCTAGACAGTGGACGAGCATGATGCGCCTGTCGACACCCCGCGCATGGATAGAGGTATCATCTCTAAACTGCAATCTGGTTTATCCGCAGACTCCTCCCCAGTGAAAGAAGGTAGGATCTCAGAGACGAGTATTTGGATCCATATTGGATGGAGATGGCAATAGCGCCTGGCCGGCTGCCATGTCATGCCATTATCACCACATCATATGGCATCTATGATCTCGCTCATTATTGATCTTTAACATTTTGGCATCCTTTCATTACCATACGTACAGTCCGGAATAACAACAACGTTTTGTCCGGTGGAATTCGGGTATCACCCCTCATAACAACATTTTCCATTAGATAGACCATGGGGCATTGGGGCGTTGGGGCATTGGGGTAGGCATACCACTTTGGTTTACTCCCATAGTCACACCACCCGTCAGATGTGCGTAAAGCGATTTGCTTTTTGGATGGTTTTCCATATATATAGTAATTTGGACATTCAACTGTTGGAAAAGGGAAATCGGTTGCGTTCCATGCACGCGACATTCATTCCCCACACTTCTCGTCAGAGAACGAACTGCGATTGTTCCTAGATGGAGTCTATCCAGATAATTAGGGTCCTAGCGCCCAGCAATTTACTCAAATCCTCCGTAATCTCGCCAACTTTTTCGGTTGGATGATTCATTCATTCTCCTGCACCACCCACTCATTACTTGACATGTCTTGCAACGGGTCAGGGTGTGCAAGTGCTCAAACGACAACGCATTCCCCAAGCCCTAAGAATATGCACGTTTCGCGCATTTTCTATGTCATCTCGATGTCATAAGTGTAATGTGTAGCCGAAAAACAGGAAGCATCATCAATGATGAAGAGATAGAGTGGGGAAGATCTGGACTACATCATCGAATAGAGCCAGTCATGGTACCGACCAGCGCCCGGCGCTAGTACGCTGTGCACCCGCGCGCACTGCACCGCGATCATGCCGATCATCACATCCACCGTCGTTTAGCGCCCCTGGTGGTAGTTTCCGTTGATGACATCTGAAGAAATGTTTGAATCCCTGGTTGCGTGGGATATACACGGTGGGAATTGGAGATTCCCACCAGTCAGCTAGGGACCGGCGGATTCGCCGAAGCCACAAGGGTAGTTGAAGCCACAAACGATGGGAATGCATGGTGTTAACAACAATGGTAAGACTGGAAATCGAGCCCCGCACTGGAGTCAAGCAGCAGTATGTAATCAATCCAACGGGGCACTTGAAAACCGGTGTTCCGACTCCGCGTAAGCCGAATATATACATGATTGATATTAAGTGGCTGTGATCAGGGTGCCACAAATTGCAACGCCTACCTGGTTACATTAATTTTATGCGCCCATGAATATACATAAGTAATAAGTTGGGGCATAAGTGATTGTCCAAAGGGGGGGATAACAGCCCACCCCCACAAGCTCGTACAAGCCAATTCTTCCTGTGCCAGTAATGCCTCATGGACAACCCAAGCCCTCCACGGCCTTCCATGCTGCCCTAAGGACTGTCGACAACCTTTTGGAAGATGCATCTCTTACAGCCCAGGCTATCAATCGTTCCTGGGGTCCTTTGCCAAAGACGACGGAGGACTTCAACGAGGCCGAACCTACATCGACCATAGCCAGCGGTATTGAGGCTGTTCGTGCGCAGATCAAACGAGGACTACCCATCGAAGGCGATCCTATAGAAATCGCCGTACGTTTCTCTGCGCAATTCGCCGGAGTTTCGTTCCCGAGATCGTACACTGACTGATGTGCTTTGTGTCCACGTAGGGAACCGTGTTGGATGTTGCCAAGGCAGGTTCCCCATTTGCGACTGAGGGGCTCGATGATCGCAAGTTCGCGGTACGTACTATAGTCCCTTCTGGGTCTCAACTCCCTGCTTTGCGAGACTCTCGCAGTAAACTTGTCCCCCTTCTTAGCTCGAATACATTCTCTCTTTTCTCTCTCGCGCGGAACCACGAATCACAGCGCCAGTTGAACATCTCGCCATTCGAACTCTCTACTATGACCTTTCTCATCCACCTGCCACGAACATGGGCCAAAAGTATCAGTTCCGTTCTGCGGATGGGTCAGGTAATAGTGCCTACGACCCAGATATGGGTAAAGCCTTCTCGCCGTATTCTAGGAGTTGCACTGGCTCGCGGCCGTTACCAGACTCGGAGTTACCTGATCCTGGTTTGGTATTTGATGCAATTATCAAAAGGGATCCTAAGTTTACTGCACATCCTGCTGGGTATAGTGGGCTATTTTTCAATTTTGCGGTGCGTTCCCTCCCCCCCCCCTTTCGAAGCAATGTTTCCAAAAAGGAAAATTATTCCTCATGCGCCTCTTCTTTCAGACGTTTGTCATTCACAGCGTATTCCGGACGAGTCGAACGGATTTTAATATCAACGAGACGTCGTCTTACGTTGACCTGGGCATTCTGTATGGGAACACGCAGGCCCATCAGGATAAGATTCGTTACGTAGACGGTCGTGGAAGGATCCTTCCTGATGTTTATGCTGAATTCCGCCTCATCAACTTGCCTCCTGCTGTGAACGCGGTTCGTGTTTTTGCGCCAATTTCGATCTCTGCGTTGAGACTCACTCGCATTCCATTTGCTCCAGCTTATCATCATGTTTAGCCGCAACCACAACGTACGTGCTCTTCAGCAGCCGGAGTTTGATCTTCGTTCTGATTATACCGCAGTATATTGCCGATATGTTGCTTCGTATCAACGAGCGTGGAACGTGGACCCAGGATATCCAGAGCCTGGACAAGGAATTGCTTGTCAAACAAGACTATGAGATTTTCAATACTGCACGCCTCATCAACTCTGCGACTTTCGCGTTTGTCATCCTCGGAGATTACCTCGCTGCTATTCTGGGCACTCTACGAGATGGATCCAGCTGGACGTTGAATATCAGCGGTGAGAGGAGGGAGAGCGATCATCAACTCCTGGAAAGAGGACGAGGGAATTCTTGTTCGGTGGAATTTAATACGCTTTATCGTTGGCATCCTGGTTTAAGTGCCGAGGATGCGGAGTATAATGGTGGGTTCTATTTTCTCGATTCGAGTCTCAGAATACTCGAGAGATACTCATGAGACTGATTAATTTAGAGCAAGTGTTCCAGTACTTGTTCGCCAAGGAACCTGGTGTGCCTGTTGACTTTGACAAGGTTTGTTCGGCTCGCACCCTCATTCGCTTCAACTCCCTCAATTTTTTTTCTCTCTTTTTCAGATTACTCCCGCGGATTTCGAGAACGTTCTTGGCAAGAAAGCCGTGGCTGCTACGTACAGCCGCCTACGAGATAAGGACGGCAAGCCTGCTCCATTACCCGATTTCGATCACCTTACGCCCCGACAAGTCGAGTCTCTCATCGACGATAGCAAACCTGTGGACTACCTTCTCGACCAGTGGTCTTTCAAAGGTTTTTCGCTCCCAGGATCCAAGGCCTTCGATAGGAATCCAAGAGATCCGAAGACGAAAAAGTACAAGGATGATTTGCTGGCGAATGCGTTGTTGAGCGCTACCTCGGTCCCTGCTCATGCATTCGGAGCTAGAGGCGTGCCTGGTGCCTTGCGAGTCATCGAGATTCTGGGCATTCAACAGGCTCGATCGTGGGGAACTTGTTCCCTTAACGAGTTCCGAAGGTTCTTAGGCCTGAAGGCCTATTCAACGTTCGAAGATTGGAATCCAGATAAGGAAGTAGCCGAGGCTGCTCGTAAACTTTATAGGACGACGGAAAATTTGGAGTTGTATGTTGGCCTTGTAGCGGAGGAAGTCAAGCCTATCAGGGATGGCTCGGGGTTATGTCCTTCATGTGCGCGATATATTTCCCTTTCTCCCAAAACGGCCTGCGTTACTAAAACATTCGCCGTCGTCGTTGTGGATATCAGACACCGTCTCCAGAGCGATCCTAGCGGACGCTGTCGCTTTGGTTCGTGGTGATCGTTATTTGACGTTTGATTTGACACCTTTCAACTTGACAACGTGGGGTTTTGCCGAGGCTAATCGGAATATCACCAATGCTGCTTGGGGTGGTGTTCTTGGTCGACTTTTAGCCCGTGGTCTTCCTCAACATTACGATGCCACTTCGGTGTACACTCACTTCCCTCTCATCACGCCCAAGGGACAACCGTTTTCGATGGATACCATTCTCGCCAAATTGGGACAAGCGAAGGAATTTACGTTCGATAAGCCCATCAAGAAAGGTATTCTTCGCGTCGTTGTGGACCCTATACATGTCGAGGCGGCTTTAGGGGGCCCGCCGATGGTTATCCAGGGACTTGTGACTCAGTACGTGAAGAACGTGAGAGACATAGGTCTGGCTCCTAGCTTCCTTACCGTTATCGACGATGTCGCAGCCTATGCGCGCGTTACGGCTTTGGTGCAAGATCACTTCGTTCCCGCTTCTGAACTAGGGAAGAATGGAAAGTGGTTCTACGAGAAGGCGCGTCAGTTGATCAAAGAAAATTCGTATACGGTATATTCCAAGGCTCCGAAGAGCGTGGATGTTGTGAAGGAAGTGCTTAGGATTATCCCTGTGCATTGGGCTGCTCAAGTTGTGCGTTTCCACCGTTCGCCCTTATTTTTTTTTGTTTTGGTGCGCTGATACACGGACGACTCGGAATTAAGGCCGGACTCCCCGTCAAGACAGCGCAAGAGACGAGAGGGATTTACTATGAACAGCAAATATATCAGATGTTGAAGGAAATCTATTCGTCAGTGCATTGTTATCGTGCCCTTCCTCCCCCAAATAACGAATTTGTGCCATTTCCTAGGTACATCTTCTTGGAACCCGAACCATCTTTGAAGATTCCTAACCAAAGGGAAGCTCGTGAGAACGTCGATCGCCTGCGTCGATTTGTGAAACTTAGCCTGACGGAGGCGAAGGGTGGTGTACGTCTCCGCGCCTTCCCAAATCGGTCGTCCAGTCATGCTGATACCCCATTTTGTTAAGCTGTCTTCCTCAGTTTTGGGTGGCTTGGCGAGCATAGTTTTTGGCGAAGGCAACCAGAGCGCCAACCCTATCCTCAAGCGACTCCTCGCTCTTGGATCACCAACGGAAGAACTTGCGAATGACATTATTGCCGTCATTTCGAGCGCCATTGAGTTATCTCAAGGTAAGGGGGAGGACAAATTGAGTGACTTTTCATCTACCTATGAGCGTGTTCGCTGATCACTTGTTCCGATGTTTGTCTTGCATGATAGTCTTCACTCACGTCATAAACTTCTACCTGCCTCAACGTCAGGAGGTGAATGCATGGAAGCCTTCTGCTACGGAACGCACTACTACGTCCCGAGGTGAAGGGGTTGCCAGTAACATCGCTGCTGTAGCGGCAAGAGGTGGAGATGAGATGTCATTGCGTACCCTTGAAGGGTATGTTCTAGAGGCACTGCGTAGGTTTTTCTTCGGATATATTCCTTCTAAACTCGTACCTAATGAAACCGAATGTAGGCTTCGACCCTGTTACACCAGGTGTCTACCGTGTTGCAACCACCGATATCCCACACATGATGGCAATGGTCCCCGGTGTGAAAGGCGACAGATTCTACTTTGATTTCACCAAGGCGGCTGTCGATCCTAAAGCCTTTGACGATGCCCATCAAATCAATGCCCATCGCAACCCGGCCTCCTACGTCATCTACGAGGGCGATGGTGTGTTTAAGACCCTTGGCCAGAAGTTTGTTGTAAGGGTTACTGCTGAGGTGCTTAGAGCCGTCTTCGAGCTCAGGAACGTACAAAGGACTCCAGGGAAGGGAGGAATACTGAGAAGGTCTGAATCCAAGCCATACCTTCCAACAAAGCTGATCCATTGTTTTCATGACCTAACAGATTCAAAGAGCCCGTTGTCACTGTGGACGATATCGTCACCGCTGAAACGACTCAGGTACCCTTCAAGGAAGTGGATTCAAAAGGAGTGCTCGTCGATACCCAGTGGACGGAAGAGGTCAACGTTTACAAGTTGCATTCTGGTATTTCCAGGGAAGAAGGCAAGATCCCGGCTGAACGGTGGGCTTATTTGGATCCGGAAATCGGACATCATCCTTCTACCTGGGCGACAGGATTGACTATTGAGGTATGTGCCCCCCTTTTGTTGCGGGGTTGCGTTGTTCCACTCGTGTGAATGCTGACGCTGAATGCAATGCTTCGTTTATTTAGTATCATAACGACCTCGCTTCGAGGGGATGAGTAGCACCAGAGAATGCCGTATTGACGGTTTCCTTCCC